CAGACACAGCAGGGACAGAAGGGAACAAAAGGCTATGCTCGTATGTGTGTTGTGGCATAGTTCCTTTTCGTTGCAATAGATAGCTGCATCTATGGAATATGTATCTACAAATTGTACTACAGTCCAGTGAGTTTGACCTGTACTTGTACCTTCCGGTCACGGTTGCCTGTTTATTGTTGTTTTTTATCGTGAGGGATGTGTGCTTTACTTTGCTGCTCGAGAGCTCTGCCTTTCTTAGTAGGTTGCAATGCACCATTATGATGAAAGGAAAATGCTTCAACATGTTCCGATGTTGTTGAGATGGTATACCATCCAATATGTGTTGGCCCGGGGATGTCAGTCCTGGCCATCTTTACTGTCTCCTTGGATCATGACATGCTTGGACTGTGCAAAAGGTCAACAGCGGCACAACTGGTGTAAGCAAGCTTTCGTTTTGCACACCAGAAAATGAGACCAAACGGTTAAACAGTGCACTAGTGTGGCATATGTACAGAGGCAGTATACCGCACAAAGTGCGAATGCACCTTGCTGCAGTACCGATCTCAGATGTTGTCTGCATGATTCACTACTAGTACTGCTCTTCTATTGGTCCACTGAAGACCCAGTAGAAACAAGTAGACATTATTGAGGGCAAATTAGGAGGCATCTGCAGTATTGAAAACTGTACACACTTTTGGCACCCTCACGTTCATGATCCCAGAATGACCTCACACATTATTCTTCCAAACAGGAGTACTATGTCACCCATGTCCTTGCAAGTAGGATATTGCAAGGCCAGACTAGCTGAGGACTAGTCTGATGCCACTATGGGCACGCGGACATTGCTAGCAAAACAATCAACAGATACATCCAGTGCACGTGCACAACCAATCAGCAGGAGCATGAAGTGTTCAACAATCCAGTTCATGATTACAATTTCAGGCGTGGTTCAATATCAGGAGTCCTCACGCTCCTAGGGCAATGTCGGGCTCTGCTGCTCTGCTGTTTCATCTGTAGTGGGTTCATCTGTGGTGGGAGTGAATGTCCTCTATGACTGGAAGAAGGCACTGCGCAAGTGCATCCATGCCTGCACCAAGCTTTGATCCTCACTGTGCAGGAAGTGACAGCACTGTCATACAGGCTGGTTAATGGCATGAACAGTGTTTACAGTGGCAAACAAACCATCCTGTTACGTGGTTGATTTACCAGGATAGGAGCCAAAAAACCTCTTTACAGCCGCACACCTGACCAAAACACGAGATTGCCCCTCTGTCTACATCTTATGAGGCAACTTGTTATCACTTTCTCAGATCATTGTCTCCACACAAATAGGATTGCAACTAGTGGCCCGGAAAATGTCAGGCTCCGGGGGCTTGCCTGCTGCTGTATGCTTCACTAGCACTGTCTCTGCAGGACATATGCATGGTGCACATTTTGATGACTCACAGGAAGGCCCAGGAGTCGGGCGTACCTGCTATGATGGGCTGGAGGCCATCTGGCAGCAGTTCCTCAATAGAGTAACTAACCTGATGTGTCACCTGATTAGTCAATGTTCTGGGTGTAGCAAGGTGCACCTGCGGCGTTGAGCTGGGCGCCATCTGGGAGCAGCTCCTCCTTACAGTAACTACCCTGATGTGTCACCCATTAGTCAGCAAGGTGTACCTGCGGCGTTGGGCTGGACGCCATCTGGCAGCAGCTCCTCGTCCAGGCGCGACTCATCCTCCGCCAGGAAGTGCGCGCCGCAGTCCACAAACTGCACGTGCTTGCGCGACGAGTGCATCTCCGCAAACGATGCCAGGTACGAGTTTATCTTGGCAATAGCGCCAGAGAATCTGCGGGCAGCAGGCATCAGGGACCCGTCAGATTAGGAGCAGAAGGCTTTCCCATGCATGCATGAGCGGCGCTCAAAAGGAGTTGTACTACAGCCCTCTGCCCTCCGGTTTGGCTCTTGCCTGCCGAAGTTCCAGAGGTGCGCTATAGACAAACTCATGCTGGTGCTCCTTTTCAGCCCTGGGCCCTCCCATATGTGAGCTAGCATGCAGCAAGCAAAGCTTTGCCACAGCACAAGAGTAGCACTGTTTGTCCTCTGCGTCACATATCATGCAGCATCATACATGACAACTCATGGAACTGAGCACAGAATGAAAGCGTCTCACTTGTTGGGCAGGCTGAAAGCAGCCGAGTCAGGCTGTAGTGTGACATCTCCCCTGGGCAGCAGCCCCAGAATGAGCACTGTGGTCCCCGGAAGCGCCTGAGTCAAGTAGTCTGCTATGCGAGCCGCCCTCGCTGATGTCACATTTGCCGCGGTGTTTATGTGTTCGTCCCCCTGCACTCAGGGGATGCCTGGTCAAGCTCCCCATACCCCTGGGGCTGTACATGGAGGTAGGATCTAGGGATTTCATGGTTCAGGGCTGGTTTTCTTGGCACTCTTGGCACATCTGATTTCCAGTGTTTTTGCCCTTTAGCCCCATGTGCATGAAAATGAGGCTGAAGTTGACCCAAGACACCAATAACACCAGGCCAGCCTAATTGCTTGCTCTGAGCAGGGTGCTGGCATATGGGCGCTTCATGTGAGAAGGAAAGCACCTGGAAAGATGCGTAGGTGAGATCACTGGAGCCAATCTGAAGCACTACTGTTCCGACCTGAAGGCCTGGGACCACCTCCCCGTTCTGCAGCCGCCACATCAAGTTGGCAGTTGTGTCCCCTGCCACGAAACATTTTCTCAGCTTTCTGTGCTGGCCTGTTTGTCAGCACAGCTTTTGGAGAGTCATGAGCGCTTGTGGGGCCAACGCAAGGGCATGCATGGGGAAAGCTGAGTCTCAGCTGGCACAGCTCGGTGAGATTGACCTATTTGTCAGTATATTCATAGGAGAGTCATGAGCGCCTCTGGGGCCAATGCAAGGGCATGCATGGGTGAAGCTGAGTCTCAGCTGGCAGAGCTCGGTAGGAGATTGAAAGTGAAACGGGGCAATCACCTGCAATTCCCAGCGCCGCAGCCCGGTATCTGCTCCCAAACTGGTTGTGGAACACGTCAGCGCAGCCGTGCGCACGTACCGAGGGCTCTCCAAGGAAGGTTCCCCTCAAAGCCTCCACCAGAGTGTCCCCATACATCAGTATGTCCAGCCCCTGAACACCCAGTGTTGAAAGCCGAAGAGTTTATCGTTTATGAACGACAAGCTGGTTAGCTGGGTCCCAGGTCATGCCAGGTCACTGCGCGTAAGAACCTCTGCATATCAATCTGGTTCAAGTGTGCTCAACAAGTCTTTTGGCATCCAGGGGGCCACATGTTTCTGTCACCGGCTTGAGACAGTACTGAGTCAATGCACAGAGGAATCCATTGCAGATTGTCAAGGCAGAATGCCAGAAATGCCGAGCCAGATTCAACACGGCCTCTCATACAAATGTTCAGATCCGATCGAGCAGCCCACCTACATCGCGCCGGCCTGGGCAACCTTGTCTACACTTGACAAGTACATGAAAAATGAGGAGTGTAGTCTGCTTGAGACTGTGCAATGGAATATCCTCAACCTTCTTCGAAGGTGGGAGAACAATCGGCGTGTGATGTCCTTGACAGCTTGCATGCATGAAGCTCAGGTGGCAACCAGAATATGGCATGGGATCGTAGGACTTGTGTTCCTTCATTGTGTACCTCTGGCATGCCAAGATGTTTGCATCTTCAGCGGGCCGCTTACCTGGGTCGCGCTGGCCTGGGCGATTTTGTCAATGTAGGACAAGTGCAGGGCAGCCCAGCCGGGCACATCCTGGCGCGGCTGCGGCCAAGGCGGCTTCATGATGCGGCTACGGCCAAACTGCGCATTCCCATTCGCCAGCAGCAGCACGAACATCATGCCCATTGCCAGCAGGAACATCAGCCCATACTCACCTGGCACCACAGAGATCATAAACTCCATGCACAGCCTAGACCAAAGTCTGGGTGCACTCCATTAATCGGAACTGCTCTGCAAGTCACACTTCGATGGACCTCTCCAAGCCACCCGGGAAGGGTCGCATGTGTGATTGCCATCCTTCCTTGTTAGGATGTATACGCATGTGGGTCAGTAGAGGAAAGCACACACCAGTCCGCTGCCAAATGCTATCCAATCTACCATTCTCCCCCTGTCCCACGCTTGGCCTCTTGCTATCGTCTGCCTGGCAGCTGTTGCTTGTTGAGAAGGTCTTCTCCCATGCTTTCAACCCTTGGTTGTCCCCAGATGCCACTGTGATCACATTTCTTGTTCTCCTCAGAGGTGTGGGCACACAGAGACAGGAATTGCCGGGAAAGTCAGTGCACACTAGCCTATTTTAAGTGCATATGTAAGAATACCTCTAGGTGTCAGGAGAGGCGCAAGCATCTGCTGATCCCTGGTGTTTGTCTCGTTTGTTCCCTCCTGATCAAGCCAACACTATGGCTGTCCGGGAAAGGTGTGTGGAATAGGGCAGAGTGTCCTGTATCTGTCTCAAGAGCAGTGAGCTACACCCTCGGGTCTTACTAAGGCGCCTTGGACTCTTTCAGGTCAAAATAGACAGCTTGTATTCTCTGATGCCCTTCTCAGCTGGTCTTCGAACCTGGGGTCCGATGACCAGATATGAGAGAACTCTGTAAGAAATTCAACCGTCTACAAATTTCGTAGCTGAGATCGGCACATGTTATGACATGTAAATTTATTCAAGAATAGCTGAATGTAATTGCAATCTCCGGTTGTCTGAATGACTCTGGGGACGGGAAAGGAGAACACAGGAGCTTGCGTGCTAGAACTTGAGCCAGGGGCTCTTTGCAGCTGACATAAATACGGACATCAGGTGTCAGAGTATGCCTTCGTTTCACGAGACCAACTTGGCAGAAATCTGAGTCAGATCTGTCCACGAAAGACCGCCAAGATTTAGATTGAGCGGGATTGGAGAAATATGATATCTAGAGCGTCAGCAAAAGCCGATGAAAACCCCTGAATTACTGAAAACGCCAGATCGTCCGTAGGGCTAGGGCTTATTCACTTCAGTAACACCACAAAAAAAGAAAAAGAGTCGACGCCGAGACTCGAACTCGGAATCTTTTGCTCCGGAGGCAAACGCGGTATCCATTTCGCCACGCCGACTGACCAGTTCCGCCGCCAGAGCGGGTCACTGTCAGATGGCCTTTTTGCGACGTACATATATGCGAGAAACAATCAGATTTTTTCCATCAGTGCATACACATCAAGGTCTTGGGGCATTTTACCAGAAATAGCTACTTGCCTGTGTTGAGGACGCTGGGGTGAGTGGTCAGCTACCATGAGGTTCCTGTCGCGAGATCGATCATTAAGAAGCACCATCACATGCCCACACCAGTGCGCAGTGCACGTGTCCGACATGTGCACTGCTGGGTCAGCAATGGTGATCATCATGATAATTCAGCTACCATTGCACCCGGGAGTGGCAGCTTTTAGTTACCCAGTGTGAGTCCATTATCAACCAATGATGATTGAATTGTCGACACACTTGATTCTGCAACATCTCTGTTGTGTCAATGACTCATGACATGGCTCGGAGCGCCTTGTGGCTACCGTATATGGCATGTCCTCATTACTGTGACAGCATTGTTGGGACCAACCGGCCAAATAGTGGGCTTGGCGCCACTGCAGCAAGTTGCCACTGAGGTGCAGCCTGTTTAATTTGATCGACAATGATGTTTAATTTGATCGACAATGGATTCTGCTGTAGCCGCAGTAACTCCGCCCTTTGTTCTCAACATGGTACATACGACCTTTCTGGTCTTAGTGCTTCCCCTACCAGTTGCAGAATCATTGCATTGCTGGCAGCGGGTTCAACTCACTCAAAAGAAAGACTCTCATGTCCCATAGGTGGTTGAGTTCCGAGGAAGCCCAGATCTGCAGATCTCAGCTCAGCTGCATCTGCCTGAGCATCAGGTGCCTTGCACTGAGGACTTGCAAAACCCCTGCAAGAACAGTTGTGAAATGCTGGGCATCAGCACGTATATTGCATAGGATCTCGCCTCTCAGTCTGCTACAGCGGCTTGCCAGTTCAGTGGCACCATAGGCATCCACACTGTGACTGTGAATGTGAGGTTTTTGGTGATGCCATGTTCTTCAGGCTGGTATTAGGGCTTTGGGCATCTTGAACCCAAAATTCCTCTTGCTGATGGACATCATCTCGTTTCCTTTGTCAATTCGAGCACGCGTGGCAGGATCAAAAGCTGCCTGCGCATATAAAGCTGTACTCATCAGTGCCTGCTTGTCACTCTGTATATATACATTTGACCATGATGCTATGGAAAATAGAAGTCTTGCTGGGCAGAGCCACCTGTAGAGCAGTCATCTGCCGCAATGGGGCTAACAATGCAGCCTGTACTTCATTGCTACCCTCCAATATCCCAAGCGCCCTGCAATTCACCAGGATGTACATCAACACTTGATAGAAAAATCGCATGTTTGTCTTGCTTCCTCACATGAAATGCATGATGAATTGAGAGCAACTGCAACCTTTGCAGGTGCAGTCGGCAACCAGGGCACACCTTGCCACTGCTTCAGCGGTGGTCATGCATCCTAGAGAAGGTTCACGCTTGAGCGCGCACTCCCAATTTTCTCTTGGGATGCTGTCCAGAGGAAGGTGGACAACATCTGCCTGGAATCCTTCCAGTAGAGGCATGAGCACCTGGCTGAGAGCACAAGAACGGATGAGGACATTTGGGCTCAGTGGTTTGAGCTGCACATCTGCTCTCATCTTCTTCAGACGTACCTTAAATATCTCCTTCCCTTGCCTCCACGTGCCGTCTATGGCAATGAGCAGGTATGTCCATGGAGGCGAGTGACTCCCTCTGTGCGTTACATGAGGCTCTGCAGCCGCTTGCTGCACCTGCAGACCCCCCTCCAGATGGCGCTCCTGGCTATGCACTCGCACCATGTCAGCCAAGTCCCTAGCCTCTGCGCCAGGAAACAGCACGTAGATCGGGCTCCCCATTTGCTTTGCTGTATGTAGTGCATCACCAAGGCCGGACGTCTTTTCCACCTGCGTAGAATCGTGTCCTACATGAGTATCTTGCACATAAACACTGGATGCTTTCAAAGGCATCCAGCTCTGCGGGCAGCTGGAGAGTGCAGATCTGACAGGGCAGGGGCAGTTATTCCTGCATTAATTGCCGGCAGTGCACTGCCTACAACTAATGAGAGCGTGTATGCACTCTTGTTGTAATGAAGAACTTCACCCATAATTGACTTTGTGCAAACTCCCATCACAGTCCAAGCAAAGATCAGTCAGAAGTGCACCGAGAACTTGCGGCCGCGTATCAAGGTGCAGTCTTTCAAGCACAGATCGAGGAGTGGTACTGTTGCCATACGCTTCCTGCAATGCATCCTCCAATTCAATTCAAACTCAATTGTCACGGTAAATGGCCTCCTATATGGTGGATTATTCACGAAGCTGCATGTATGGCTTCACTTGTTTTGGTACCTGGCTTCCAAGGGGTGTTGCAGCACTAGGAGTTTGCCATGCAATTTCAGGGGTGCATGTGGCAAAGCGCTGCAAAGACAGACGGATTGTGGTCGCCTGCGGGCCATGAATTCTTAGAGCTGTACAGCAAGCTGAAAGGATTTACGGCAAGTGAGATTTGCACTTCAACTAATAACATGGAATGCTTGCCAGCATCCAACACCTGCAGCGTCCACAGTCTCGATATGTTGTTGGCTCTACTAGATTGCCATCCGTATTTGAATTGTCAGGAAAGCAGTCCAGATCAAGATCATCCCTGCTGCCCGATCCAGCCTGCTCCGTCATGTGAACACTTCTGCTTCAATGAGCATCAATTTCCTCTCTATTTTGTACGTCAAGAAACCTCTTGTGTGGGACAATCATTTCATTGTGCTTCCTGCCGCTCCTAGCCCAGCTGACTCAGTCGTCAAAGCGTCCAAGGGGAGGAATCTTATTACAACCTTCAGCAGAAATTTCATCCAAACCCCCACTCTTTGTCTCTTAAGACAACGTAGATTATTCTAGATGCATTAGAAATCTGCTGGGTCCTCGCTTCCGTGCAGCCATGGCCACGCGATCTTTCGCTAGGAGAGCTCTTGCGATATGCAATGCGCACGTTCAACGCTTGTACAATATTTCAGAAGCGACAGCATCAGCAAAGAGCTTCTATAATGTTCACTTGCAAAAGACAGTGTCATTTGCATCGATTCATGGTCCAAACCTTGGTGAGTTGTCAAGCGTGTCTGTGGCCATTTTTGCCTCTAGTTCCTGGCTGCCATTGATTACCTCATGCTTGTGTGGTTCAACTTAGACTGTCACTGACAATTATACTCTGCCATGTTTGAACACGAAGTCAGTTGAGCAAAGTGCGAATTTCTGAACTACAGGAAGGGCAACAAGTTTCCCTCAAGTCATGCTGCAGCGGCAGTTTGCATGAGAAGCTGGGTTGGATCGTCCTCCACCTGACCTGGTGCGTCAAACCTTACATCGCTGCTGGGATCGTCTTTTTGTCCTCACCACTGCACCTTCAGTTCTCTGCCATGTGTAAGATCAGAAGAGGAAGAGGAGTTCTGTATGCACCGATTGCAGGTCATAGTGGAGTACGATTCAACGGATGTGGACCACTTCATTGAAATTGCTGATGCAATTGAGGAACGGTTTCCCAACCTCATGGTAAATGGCGAGGAGACAGAGGGCGGCCCAGCAGAGGGGAAGCTGCTGTTCGAGGTGAAGGCTGAAGACGGGCGAGTCCTCTTCTCTGCCAGGCAGACAGGGCGGCTCCCAGACAGTGGGGAGATCCTAGATGCTCTCACGGCCGCAGGAGTGTCTGAGTCATAAGCCGTTCATGCCTACCTTACATAGCATTTTCCCAGCAGCAGCAGCAATGTGTGGTGCTGTGAATTGTTTGCTGTGGCTAAGTGGCCCTGTCAGGAATAAGAACACCCACTTAATAGGCTGTGGAGGCTTGACATGACGCCTGCGCTTAAAGGCACTCTTGTGCACTGTGCAGTGCCGAACAGCCTGCCACCACTGCCCAGCTCAAGGGTGCTCCAGTTGTACCAGACAGACAGGATAGCCACGAGGGCTTGGCACACAGAACCATGCACTGTGCAGATATGAGTCCATGAAGATTGCCACTTGGTATGTTTGAGGGCTAATCCTGTACTGTAGCGAGTGATGAGAGACGATTCCGAGAGGTCAAAATTGCGACACTGCCATGGCTAGTTAGTCAGGATCTTCACACCTTTGACTGGCCGAGAAGACATTGCTGACCCACTTTGTGTACATATGGGAAATGTGGAGCACAGCAAGATTAATCCAAGATTTTGTGATACCAAAATGCAATTCTTGCCAGTGCTCGGACCTGATCACAGATTTACCACCCAGCTGGCCCCAGACACAATTGATCTCTGTTTTCTAGCAGGCCAACATTCAAATGATGTGCGTGGCCTTTATATGCCGTACATTGCATCCTGGTTTTGTAGTTGAACACTGCAAGGAAGTCAATGTTTTTCCAGTGTCTTTACATGCTCCCTTCCACACACAAGCGGCTGCAAGTGCATATTGCATTTCAAACTAGCACCCCTGTCCTCGCATTTGTTTCCAGGGCGACCCAATTGCAAGGCCGTTCATAAATGTCCACAAAACACGACCATCCATCAATCCAAAAGAACATCTAAACATGGCCCAGGCTGTCTTTTGCCGCTCCTGGTAGAAACTAAATCTATTAAACAACAAATCACATCAGTTGCAACTGCTTCAACCTCAACAGCAAGTAGTGTGCCCAGAAGTGGGAGCCCAGCTCCATCACCTAATTAGAACTCCAAGCTTAGTCTGAACTAGTATGTATTAAACAACTCCATGTTAACAACATGAATCAAATGGCTCCAGGCTTCATTTATGATACAACTCAACCGTGGTCACCAGATCGGCAGCCGATTAGAGCGGTACCGGTGGGCATCCTGAAGGATGCATTAGTTAGATTTTCTCCTACAGAATTATCGGTTCTTTGACGGCTTGATGCCTAGCAGGGACTGCTCCAGCAATTGATCACATCAGCGGCGGCCAGCAGCAGCAGGGGGCAGGGCAGTGCGGAGGATGGCAGCAACTGGGTTCTGGCTGGTGAAGGCGG